AAAAAAACCCAGTACATCAAAAACAGTTTCACAAAGCCAGGTCTCCTCTACAGCACAGATCTGCTACAGCTGACAGGCAACATCAAAGTCAATGTACTGTTCTGATGGAACCAGGTAGAAAATTGATGTCAACAATAACCCCCGACTCCCCCGACCACAACTTCACACAAACACATTTCATTTGGTGAATGTTTCAGAAGTAACTGGACATTTTAATCCACAAAAACAATACATTATATTTACAAAATCAACTCTTCTCTTCCAGCACTGATCTCTGTTTCATCTCTGTCTCCTCAAATAATCTGTCTGTATTTTTATCTCCGTCTTATACCCAGGCGTGGATGCTGCCGGCCCAGTCCACCAGCTTCCCGCGGTACCAGGCGCGCCTGATTGGCTGAATAAAGAGCAGGATTCGGAACCTGCGGAGAAGACCGCAGAAGACCGCGGCCGCCACAATCACCAGTGGAGACATCATGACGAACCCCAGGATGATGAGGGCGGAGCAGCTGTTGTCATCGAGGTAGCGGCAGATGGCGGACGGAGCGTTGAGGACCTGAGAGGAACAAACGCCAGAGTCGGGAGTTACACTCCCAAAAAGAGAGAAAGGACAAACAGGTAGGACTGGTCTCTGGGATACGTGTGATTCGTGTGTGTGTGTGTGTGTGTGTGTGTGTGTGTGTTGAAGAGACACAGACTGTGGAGCTGTGTGTGAGAGGCTGGAGCTCAGAGTTCAGACTGGAAGTGGCTCAGAACAGCCGGTAATTAGAGCTGCCAATCATCTGTGAGAGTAGGTAAAGTAGGAGTGATGTAAGGGGAGAGAGAGGGAGAGAGTGAGAGAGAGAGTGAGAGAGTGAGAGGGGGGGACAGGGAGGGGGGTGAGGCGAATACAATGAAGAGAGATAATAGCGGAGGATACTGTGAAGGGATGAGAGTGTGTATGAGATTGGTGCCTGCAGAAGTACATGGAAAAGGTCCTTTGAAAGAGCACACACACACACACACACACTGACACACACACACACACTGACACACACATACACATCACTGTTACCTCACATCTGCATTTAAACTGACTGCATTTGAAGCTCTTTTATTTGACAATTATGAGTCTCTCCACCTCCAAATGTACCCTGGCAACACACACCCACCTCTATGAAGTGCACGCTGTACTCTGTACTGAGGCCGTGCTGCCAGTGCATCAGAGCACAGCGGGGGCAACAACACATCAGTCTTTCCTCCATGTCTTCTCTCTGACTCTGGCTCCGCCCACAGACTTCGTTTGTCACCCATTTTTTTAAATTTTCCTCATGGTCATTATCGCAGTGACTGAGAAGGTTTTAGGTCTTCACAGCCACGGGGGCGGGGTGGGGGGGCAGATTATAAAACAATCTGCCCCCCTGTGGTTGAACTGAGTCACAGCAGATATAGAAGTGTTTGTACTGATCACTCACCCTGGAGTGGCAGAGGAAGCCTGCGTAGAGCAGCAGCACCGCCGGCAGCAGCACCGCACTGAAGACCACAGCCAGGAGCCCAGCGCCGGCCAGGACCACGCACAGGTTCCAGAGGACCAGACCCAGCCCGCAGGCCACGCAGCCACACCTGCCCCGCCGACTGCCCCAGGCGCTGCCCTCGCTGTGGGCCACAGGAGGGGGCAGCATCTTCACACCTTCTCCAATCCAGAGATCCTCGTCTTTGTCCTCCTCACCAGAACCTTCCTCTTCCAGGTCGATGTCCGTTCCACACATCCTGGAAACAGAGCCTTTAGAACCGAGTCAAACTGGGATTTCAACTTGGTTTGTTTTTTTTTTTTACCCAAGGCCAAAACAAAAAAAAAAAAAAAAAAAAATGACGAAAAAAAAAATGTGATTATTTGAAAAGACGACCCCTGCTGGCTTGTTGGGTTAGAACAACATGAGTTCAGTGTTTCAGGCTGTGTTTGAAACGAAAAGACATAAAAATACAGGCGATAACGAAGCTGTAAAAATATCTATCAAATGCCAAATGACGTGTAATAAAATACACATCTACATTCCCACACACACATTGGCTAAAATTACATATAATTGTAAATAAAATAAAAAATATATATTTGAAAAAAATTCTGTATGACACACTAAAAATTGAGACAGAGACTAAATTAAATTAAACCAAAAAAAATTGAGACTGAAAACAGAGACTAAATTAAACCAAATACAGTAAACATTCTAGATAGTTACATTAATGGCAACATTGGTAACAATAGTTGCAACTATTTTGAGAAAAAAAAAATAACAACAACAAAAACAAACCCACTTCAGACCAAAGCCCCAGACCAGTACAGTTACAGTTACTTCACTGTTTAATCCCTAATCCAAAATCATTAAATTATTCCTAATCACATTGTCATATTTTCACATTAACTCACAACGATCACCTCAAAGTTCATGCTAAGACTAAAATCCAAACTGAGTAAAAAATGTTCGCACTATTTGAAACGCGTCTCATCTTCCACAGTGGATTTAGTTTTTCATACCTCCTGACGAGAATCCCGGTATTCCTGGAGAATTCCTGTCTCTTAGTTTCCGCCTAGAATCCAATTATCTCCTCGAGTTGTTCGGTCTTTTACTGCTGCTGCTGCTGCTGCTGCTGCTCGGCTTCATCTGTCGAGATAGTCGCCGACTCTTGAGCGCGGGCATTAACCTGGAGTGCGCGGTCACGCGGTCGCGCGACAGCACCCGACACGTGTGTCATTAAGGCAAATGCATTCATGAACACGAACATGTACCTGATCGTCTGGTCAGTTTGTGTGTGTGTGTGTGTGTGTGTTTAGTCCAGTCTTCGCACCAACAACCTCTCCCTCTGTGCGTCCACAGATCTGTTATTATTGAATATTAAAAAATGTATTTTTAGTAAATATTCTCTGCAGCCACAGAAACTGTAAAAAACTAAACAAAACAAAAAAATCTGTAATAATTAAATAAAGTTATTTCCTCACGTTGACATTTCAGATTTTACAGAAATATAATTTTATATATTTACCATATTCTTAATAATGTGAGTGAGGACCACATTTCCATTATAAAGACTAGATATTAATATATCTCCAGATCAAACCCTCACAGAAGCTCCTGTTAATATATAATAATAATAATGAAGTCTTTTCATTAAAGGTTCATTCAACACATTTGTTTCTTCATCTTTTCAAAGTGTTTCTATTATGACTATCACAGAGAGAACGGTGCCTTTTTATTCACTGGACCCTGAACTTGTACTGAGACTCTTTTATAATAAACAGGGACTTAAATCCCCCCCCCCAAAAAACCCACATTTGATTAAATTATTCTGTGTCTATTTGTTCTTCCTACACAGGAACGATGTGACCCTGATGTGTGTCATCTCTCCTCTTAGAACGAACAACACCGTCAGGACAGAGAGTGTCCTCGAACACACCGCTGAGGTAAGTACTCTGTCCTTCTCCTGAGTAAATACTACGGCTGAAACGATACGTGTATCTGAACCGAACCGTTCCATACCAAAGTGGTCTCGGTTCGGTACGCACTATGAATCGGAAAAATACCGCAATTTTATATTTATTTCATCAACCTCTGACGATGTACTCTGTGCTAGAAGCTCAGTGGATCTGTGCTCGACTACTCCGCCTTAGGCTTTGCCTTTCACATTCATTCATTAGCGACATGCTAAACTAGCTTGTTGCAGCGTAGGCTAATGCCTCAAATTAGGGGTGAGATTCATCGTGATGCGACCCATGAAAATCATAAATGTTCAAAAATGTTTATATTTTATAACTAAATGACTTTTTAAATTAAACAAATATTGGTAATTTCAACAAACTACAAGTTAAAAAAGGCCCGGGCATTTTGAAGAAACAATTTGAAAAAATGTCAAAACGAACCAAATTGTGAATTAATATTTAGAAGATTTTAAAATTGAATCAATGTTTCAAGGACATTTTTACACACTTTTGATCACTGCTAAGATGAGGACCAATCAAAAGGAACCTTAAGAAAGTTGATCTCAGTAGAATAAAAACCTGAAACAGGTGGAAACGGAAATCTGTCCGAGTTCAATCTTGTTGGACAAACACGTCAGTCGCAGCTGGTGGTGATAAGTTCACAGACGTCCGTATTCGTTCTCTGGGCTCGGTCCATGTGGGATGGTTGTTCGTATTGATTGTGACTGCGTGATGTTCTGCTGCTGGTGGTTCCTTGGTTCCTGCGTTGTGTTTGTGACTCTTGGTGATTTCAGACTTTGTCACTGAATTCTCCTGAGTGCTGCCTTCAGGTCCTGCCTGCTCCCTCACACTCACGGCAGACGGCGGCCCTGTGTGAGCTGATGAGATAAGCTCTGGGTCGATTTGTTGTTGCAGCGCAGACTGACAGCCAACCTTTGGCTGGTGAAATTAAATTACATGGAACAGGAGATAAAAGATACACGGATATTCAGCCCAGATTACAAGAAATAGAGGGAAAGACGTGGTTGATGATTGGAGGGTTGATGATGAGGCGAGGCAGGAAGTCAAGAATCGTTTAGAGGGAGAAGATGTTTGGATTTGAAGAACTGCAGGTTAAAAGATTTTAAATCATTGGTCTTAAAGCAATGTCTTAAACAGCTGGTACTTTGATATAATATAATATAATAATTTTAAATAATTTTATCATTGTTTTAGTCTAGACAGACACAACTGACAGGACTTTATTTTACTTCATACTTTAAACTGAAGTAAAATTATAAGTGTTTTAACATGCAACAAGAATAGTTTTTTTTTTAATTTTATGTACAATGGGAAATGAATAACAACCCTAACATTCTGTTGAAGATGCAGACAATGGAAATGTTAACCAAATTCATATGTAAACATCTGGTTAGAGAAAGTGCAGCTGTGTTTACGAGAACTAATTATTTTTCCATTTTACGCCACATGTAAAAAAAAAAAGAAATATATTTATTTTATTAAGACTACTTTTAAACCCACAACAACTTTTTTTTATTATATTGTTGTAAACCAGAGATTAATGGTTGCTGCAGTGTGTGTTTTTTTCTTCTTCAGTGAACAGGAACGAGCCAAATCTAGTCATTGTTCTGTAAAGTTGCTCTTGATAATATCAAAATCTCATTTTCTGTTGCTGTCACTCTGAGTCGAGAGTAATCTTTTAGAAATCCACCGAGACTTTAATCCAAAAAACAGACTGTGTCTCTGTGGATTTTGAAATGAAATTGAAAACACTAACCATCCCACTGCCAGCTCTGGCTGTGAGCCAGTGACTTTATGGTTTATGCACGTATTGTTTCAATAAAGGCTTTGGAAAAAAAAAAAAAAAAAAGATGTGAACTTTAGAGTAAACACATCAGGAACTGAAATGAATCCACTGAAAGCATCTGGGCAGAACTTCTCTGGCATCTTATTAAACTCTGGCACAATCAGATCAGACTGGAGCCAAAGAGGCAGTAAATGGAATAGAGGTTACCCATAATGCTTCACTTCTATTGTCCAGTGTGTGGCACATCTAGATTACTTTTGCATCCCTGCATTTAAGCAGACGCTTTGATCCAAGACTCGAAATCGAACCCAGGACTCTCTGCTGTCTCCTTACGGGGCAGACGTGCTAACCGCGACGTTATGGAACCGACAAATAAACTTCGTTGATGTCAAAACCCGGGATTAGCTTCGGATTAGCTTCAGGCTAGCCTCAACACGGTAAACAAAAACAAACAGAAAACAAATCTCCTTCGCGACGGGAAAGTGACACTTGTTTAAAATCCACACCAGAAAATGATTTTTTTTATTATCAAAACAACAGTTTATTTGCAGTAAAAAGCGAGGATTATGAAAGTACGACGGATTAAAATGACGCACAAATTCACGCAAACGTTGCGTGTGTTCATTCAGCTAAACAGGAAACTGCACGAGCTGGTGTGTTTGTGTGAATGTATATACAATAGTGTGTGTGTTTGTGTGAGATCTGACAGCATGACTGTTGTGTGTGTGTGGCTGCGTGCACGCGCACAGGTACGGGAGTGTGTGACGTTTTCAAAGTGCCTTAATAATAAACAACAGACCGGAACACATGATGGAGTGTTTGTGTGTGTGAGGGGGGGAGGAAAGAGGGGGGGAACCACCGGACCCCGTCACCCGCCGGCGGATGTGTGTGGCAGTGTGTGATGGTCTGTGTGCGTGTGCGCGTGCTTGTTGGCGTGTATGTCTGAGTGAAGCTGTGGGTGAGACTGAGCTCCGCCCGCGCTGTCCAATAGAGAGGAGGCGTCCAGGCCGTTGTCTGCTGAATAGAGCTGCATCACCGCCCCCTCCTGGCCACCATCCTTACTGCAGGACTGACAACTGCAGTGGAAGATCCTCTCCACCAGTTTGTCCACACGGGGCGCCTCCTCGTTGCCAGGACAGTCCAGGGTCACCTGGTCACGCACATACACACACATAGTGCACATTAATATTATATACAGGTTTTTTTTTTAATCTCAGATGTGTGGGTAATTAGAAAAAAAGAATGTGTTCAGTACCGCCCCCTACACTCAATAAAACGAATGGCAAATATATGACCCTGGCACTGGATTAGAATGAATTCAAATGTATCGTCTTGTAAACTTTAAAGTCCCTGAGTTGTTTATATTTATGGCCTGGTGTGTCTGTTATTAAACCGCGTTGCAGCCGACATTAACTCAACACCAGTTTCCTCAACGTGGTTTCTACATGGCAGTCATTTCACAAGACACACTGTCTGTAAATCACAACTCAATCCCTGGTAAAGTTCAGCACAAAGTTGGCCGTGACCTGATCATGTCTGAAAATACAAATGTTAAAGAAAAAAATAATGAAAACTAGAGATTACGTTTACATTGTATTCTTTGAAAAGTTGCTCACTTTTATAATTAAAAAAAACTAAAAAAAGATTACGTTTACATTGTGTTCTTTGAAAGGTTGCTCACTTTTATAATAAAATAAAATAAAATAAACTGAATTAAACCAAAAATAACCAAATCAAATGCTGCATCTCCGTATCGTAACAAAGTTTCAACTCTAGTGAACCGTTCTTTTTTTTACATCCCTGTGCAGTCCCAGAGTTGCACAAGCGGCTCCGTCTGCTCTGACCTCACACAGCTTCCTCTCACTGTTTCCATCAAACACAATCATTCAGCGGTTTCATCAAGATCCACCGCCGGTGCCAGAACAGCATGGAGCCGTGTCCCGTTTCATTAGAGCCGCCTTTGTTTTGTTTCAAACTAAATGTAGTTTCACGTCCTGCAACAATAATTACAACCTGAAACGTAAACACCAACATCTCCAACAAATCAAGAGTGAGGCCGCTTCGTAAACGCACTTCCTGCGACCTTTTACACGAAACAAATGCAGTAATAAAAAGAAGATTTACGCGGCAGGACGCGCAGCGATCTCCTCTGGAACATGAGGGGCTTCTCTCTCGCGCCCCTCCCACCTGACCTTTCTGACAGTTTCCTAAACTCCACACACCTCGGCGCTGGGCCGTTCTTATCACAAGCCTGGAATCCTCTGGACAAAGAGACAATGAACTCATAGAAGGCAGGAATGAATCACAAAAACTCTCCATTTTCGCCTCCGTCCTTCTCACTCTTTTTTTTTCTTCTTCTTCTTTTTTTTAAATCCAGCCATGAAAAGCACATGGTTGCCATCTTTCTTGCTGGAAACTTGCGGTTTATGTGTAAGTTTGACAAGTTGGTGTTGGTGTGTGTTTGCCACATGAGCTAATGTGCAATAACTCTTACCACTTCCCACTGCGTCTGGGCAGGCATGCAGGAGTCACAGTGCACCAGAGACTCCGTGGACTGTGGGAACGTGTTTGGGACGCTGTAGCTGAAGCACTGGCCCAGACAGGCCCTGTAACAGAGAGGAGGGAGCCTGTGATTGCACCGTGCCTCTGGACAAAATGTGCGTCATTGTAGCCGCGCGGTCGGAGCACTCCGTTAATATAAGCAAGAGCCGCGGGGGGAAGAAGTGAAACATGAGCTCATTTACCTAGAATGAAGATGCACCGTGGCCTCAGGCCAAACTAATCAAATCACCAAACACTGATTAGATGTGACTGCAGTGTAAATCAGCAGACGTCTTTGACCAAAACATTTAGAAGCGAACGCACGTTCATCCTCTGCTAGCTGCAGAATGTTCCCACTTCTAAACATTTACATCTCCTGCAGAAATCAAAGCCCGAAGGCCGAGTGTTGCAGACGGGCTGCAGAAGTCGGAGGGATCGGAGACCCAGACCAACGCCGTGTCGGTTTGGGTCTTGACATGGGATTTGTTGATGATAAAAACAAATATTAATCACGGCAGCGTCAGCAGCTGACTACACTGCTGCTCTGTCACGGAGAAAATGACATTTGTAAAATAATGCTGGAATATTTAATAGACATTTTCACAATCACCATAAAATAAAAATAAAAACTTTTTGGGATCATTATCTTATTGTGAAAATGCCATAAATTCTAAACAAAATTGTAAATTGGTGGTCCGACAGATTTTTGGGGAATTTTTACTTCCAAAAATAGAATTAAAATATTATTTGGTAAACATAGAGAAATATTAAAAATAAAAATAAATGACAGGTAACAAAGTTTCTCCTACAGTAGGTTACCTGAGGAGATTACATTTAAAAGGAGCATCGAACAAAGGCGTCGTCGTCAGGGTCAGTGCTCACCACTGAGGTCACTTAAATTTTAGGAAATATTTTTCTGATCCGAGAAAACGGAGATTTTCCCGTGGGCCAAAACCAGCACGTTCAGTCTGGTCAGTTTGAAAACCCAGGCACTGCGTTATTATTATTATTATTATTATTATTATTATTATATATAGGTTTTCATTATTGGAAAGAAAAACTGATCACGATTCTTACAGATATTACATAATATGCTAATATCGGGCCGATAATATTTTGCGCTAAGCTTTAAATAAATCGAGTTTGTTTTGTTACTTGATACTGATTGAAGTACAGTACAGTGTCAGCGTCTGATCTGTGTTGTCTATATCACCGTCAGAGTACAATATATCAGTCATGGGGAGAGTGGGACAGCGGTGACCTTTGACCTGACCTGTTTTGAATAGAGCGAGGCTGACATCCTGCGTGTCCCACTATCTGTGTGATGTTCTTGGCCTCGCACCAGGCGCTCTTGTCGGGGAACAGCGCCAGGCGGTTGATGTGAGCGAGCGGCGCTGCTGAATACAGTGCAAAGAGTGCGCAGCAAATGTGGATCCTCTGCCACATGACTGCACCTAAAGAGGCGGAAATAAACAAAGAATTAAAGTGCTCTGTGTAAAAACAAAACACACACAAAACACAGAGTAATACTCGAAGTATGAAGTTTCCGTGGAATCGCTGATGTGGACTGAAAACTTCCTGCACCATAAAAACCAAAGATGCAGCAGCTGGTTACGATAAGTTGTTAAGACAGTTTCATTTGGGTGATTAGACAGATTTATCCGAACTGGCTGAACCGGCGGCCGCGGGGAGACGACTTTATTCTGGGTTGATATAGTTCCAAGGAGTCAATAAGAAGGTAGGGGGCAGGAAGCGGCTGCGCTCGCTCCTTCCTGTGCTCTTTGATTGTCTCGGTCAGACATGCCTCAGCTGCTCACCTCATTTACAGCCTCCACCACGGTTTTCTCTCCTGCTGCTGCTTATAAAAGAAAAGTGGTGAGTGCTCACCCAGGTTGAGTTCTTTACAGACTTTCTAGACGCTTCCATATGTCTCTAACCCGAGTAACCTGACCTTGTCTACAGGGACTCAGCAGAGCCATCGGGACCTCGTGAAGACTTAAAATATGCAGCCGCTGCTGGGTGCACCGCTGTGAGGAGGAAAGACCTGATCTAATAAATACAGATCTGAGTTTTTTTTCTTTTTTTCTTTCTTTCTTTTCTTTCATTTCTGAAAAGACGTCTAATGTTCAGACTCTTTTAGATTTTGTTAAAAATTCTCTGAAAACTCCCCCGGTCTTTGAATGCAGCACAGACTGTATAACTCAGTTTAGGCAGTGAACTGTTATTACTGAGAGTCGAGTCATTGAACAAATACGTACAAACCAAAAAGTTCGTCTTTCATTATTAACTCTATTAAAATATTCCTTATAATAAACGACAGCCCTGTTCGTCACGTTTTTCATGTAAACAAACTAAAAAAAATTGCTCATGTTAGTAAAAAAAAAGTCACTCTCTGACATAAATAATATATTTAAAAAATCAACATATATATAAAATAAATATGTTTTAACAATTTATAATTTGAAAAATAAAATATTGTCGTATTTTTAAATAATAACAACACGACTTTCACTGCGTATATAAAGCAAAATATTCACCTGAAATATAAGTTAACAAAAAGTCAAACGGCCGTTAAATATATTTATATAAGTCACAGATTCTACATTCTGTTCAATGTTAGTTGAACTTCCTTATTTTATTATTGATGGATTTCTTCTGTTCTTTAAATGGAATTGAAGGTGAAATCATTATCATTTTTATTATTATTATTATGAACAGATTTTACACACAAATACTGTATGTATTTTGTGATATATATATATATATTTAAAGATCTATCCATGTAAACAATTATGTATTTCTTATTGTTGATCTACAGGCGGAAATTTCTTTACAGAAATTTGACATCAACCACAACAGGGAACTAAACTGTGTTTTTTTTAAATCATTCTCCTGTAAAAATGTGATTCTGCTTTATTTCAATTTTCTTTTTTTTGTTAATGCACCAGATCAACATGTTGTATTTCAGGACAAGTGAGGGAGAAGCAGAAGCATCCATTTGTTGAGTCATCATATCTTAAACCACTCTCGTGGCCTGGTGGTGGTGTGAGTCTGTGACTCTGTGTCGTGTCACTCTAACCACTGCTGTCACTGCGTCTCTTCACTTTCGTCATCTCTGCTGCTTTTCTTAATGTTGTTGATCAATAACTCCAGATTAACGGCCGTCACAAAAGAGGAGGATTATGAATGGACTGAAGGAATGGTCAAAGGGTTCAGTCGAAGACGGTGAACTAACTTTTTTCTGGATCAGTCTGGACTGAAAAATCCAGATTGATCATAAATACCACCTTTATATTCTTACGTAATGGAACTTTTTTTAAATTTTATTTTCTTCTTTCGTGCATGGACTATACTATAAAATGTGCTTTTTAAAATTTTAGTCCAACGTTTCACAGACATCAAACCTGGAAAACTGTTGAATTTTTCATCGATGATAATCGTGGTCTTCAGACCAGGTTTTTAGGCTCTTGACTCTGACACTTTGACTTATTGTTTTATAGTCTCAGAGTCTTTTTTTAAGGTTGGATCTACGTCTAAATCTCTAGTAAATCTAAAGTGAATTTAAGGAGACAAAAAACCGTCAGCTCTGATCTATTGTCTAAATACATGACACGTTGTTTTGGTCTGGATTTAACTGAGGTTTTAGTCTTGACTTTTTGAATGTTTTGGTCTGGATTTAACTGAGGTTTTTGACTCTTTTTGACTCTTGTTCTGGATATTTTTTCCCTACTTCTGTTATGATTTCTTCTAGTCTTGGTCTTGACTTGGTCCGAAACTTTCAGGAACGTTGTTTTTGTGTGGACTAGGTTCTTAAAAGTCTCGGTTGTGTCTTGGTCCAGATTAGGGGTTTGTCTGTAATACCTCTGGGTGTTATCTTAGTCTTAGTCTGACTAAAAAGTCCCGTCTTCGTCCCAGTCACTTTGTTCTTGGTGTAAAAATGGTTTTAACTAAAAACCAGCCTCGATCTTGTATCGGGACAACTTTGTCTCAATCACTAAACGTCCAGACCTGGACCTGGTCTTGGTAGAGTCTGATGGACTTGGTCTGAGCTCTGGTCTGGACTGATCTCTAATCATATTGTTAGTGGACCTGAGGAACCTTGGTGTCGGTTTGGTTCTGGTCTCAGTCTGTTTCACTCTGATCTGATCTTGGTCTTTGTCTCAGCAGACAGTGGTCTTCATCAGGACCGTCACAGTAAAGAAGAGCCGGAGTTTGGACACTCACCAGTGCGCACTGAGCCTCGGAGAACACAGCCGGTCGATCACTGCGCAACGTCCGCGCGATGCGAGCCTGGACCTGGGTTCCTTGGAGCAGAGAACAGGGCTGGACCTCTGGAATGCGTGCGGCTGGTCGTCATAAAACGCTTACATCATCCGGGAAGAAGAAGAAGAAGAAGTTGAAAAAGATGAAGAGGAAGAGGAAGACGGTCTGGGTCTCGGCACGGGGGGGTGAGGATGGGGAGACGGACTCGGTTAATGAGCGCTATCTCATCTCCAGGTCCATCAGCTCAGATCTCTGCTCCTCTCTGGTCCGAGTCCAGCCCCGGTGTCCGAGTCCAACGTCCGAGTCCGCTGAGACTAGAGACACGGTCCGAGCTGTTGTAGTTGCTGTAGTAGAAATCTGGAGCATGAGTTTCGAGGCGCGGTGCTGAACCTCAGATTGAAGTCCTGCTGCGCCGGGTTTGGACGAGAGAGAGAGAGAGCGAGAGAGAGAGAGAGAGAGAGAGGGAGGAAGGAAAAGTGTTGGGGAGGGTTCAAGTTTTTCACTATGTAGGAGAGGGAGAGGGGGGGAGGGGGGGAGAGGGGGGGGGAGCGAACGGGGGGGTCATATCAGATTTACAGGACAAATATGCAAATAAAGCAGGGTCCTACAGACAGCACGTATTTACAGCCGCACATCTGCGCCAGCTGCATGTGCACTCATCTGCTTAAGTATTTTCAAAAAGTGAAAGATTAATAAAGCGGTCTAATAATGTGGTACAAGTGGGAAACAGATGTGGACCAGTGCTCTGGCCCACACTCCTCTCTCCACAGGACCATAAAAAGGCACCTTTGCTGAGTTTAAATGATATGAATAGCAGGTTACTGCAGCCACATGACGACTTGATCCAATTAAGGCCTCACAGTATGTTTGGAGAGGAGGCACTGACAGCATGAATTGCTCAAAGGCAATATATTCTCTGCTTCTCATGACCCAGGACCTGGCTCTGGTTAGAGGTTATTTATACCGGATCATGAAGAACAAGAACAAACCTGACTTTTCTCCTGAGATTCTCAGGTTTGTCTTTCTGCTGCAGAACACCTCGAAGGGGGGGGGGGAGTCGAAGGGGGGGGTACGGTGATGAAGACTCTGATGGGGAGTTTGATGAACTGATGTCTGTGGTAGTGGAGACTCCACTGGTCCTTCAATGACCAGGTGACTGGTGACAAACTGTGGTGTCAAAAATACTGAAACTTTATTCAGCATTTATTCATTTTATACTTCAGCTGACCAGTGATAACCCGTGGTCTTTGTGATTGATTAGGTTGATTCTTGATTTCATCTGTGATTGTGAGTCAAAAAAAAATGACCAGGTCAGTAGCTGTGACGTTGCGAAGTAAATCCTTTTTTTTTTTGGATCTGGTTCAGAGTCTCCAGATCCAGGTTTCTCTCTCTCTCTCTGCTTCTGAACGTCTGATGAATTCTAAAGAGGAAACTCTGGACCAGACAAACAAAGAAAGTTCACATTTGTCTACGAACAATTCAAACAATTTTTGGACACATTTGGTTTAAAAGTTCTATTTTTTAAAAAAATGTCAGCACAGTTGATGTTTTGTTAGAAAATAAATCAAACGAACAAACTTATCAAATCGACTTAAAAACTCTTTCCTTCAGTCGCGGCCCAGTGAATAGATAACACAAAGTCTCGTAGCTCATTAACACACAAATTACTCCCCCTCCCCCTTGTCTCCCAAACTGCAATTTTAATTAAGAACAAACAAACAAATTAAAAATAAAAAAACCAAAAAAAAAACCAAACAAAGACAGGTTTGACCTCCTGAAGTTCTCAGCCCTGGACCCTCACACGGCTCCGTGCAGCTGTGCTTCATATTCTGTCAAAGTAAAGCCTGGCCTTAAATGTGAAGTCAATATTTGAAAAAAAAAAGAAAAAGAAAATTATTAAGTTAGGCAAAATTAAATTTTAAGTACTGATGGTTAAATATGTCCGTCAGGCGAAGTACGTCACTAAATCTACAGCAGCAGCGCGCTCTTTTCTTCTGAGGGTAAATCAAGAGCAGCAGCAGCTGCAGTGGCCTGGAGACACGCTGAGCTACACATGGCCTCTCTGCTCTTTTATCGTTCACCGCTGCTCATCCCGCAGGTCTCCCCCTCCTGGACGAAGCGCTCCCACTTTGTCCTCCTGTTATGATTAGGAATAACCATCATGGAGG